CAGCAGGAACAAGGCTCAGCTATGTTCCAGGTCCCAAGACCTTTCCTCCTGTGCTCATCTACCAGCTGCCTCTGGCTCATGCAGGGACCCCCCCTCTCTACCATTACCCTGATTCAGGCCCAGTTTTCTTTACCATGCCAAGTGTCCTGTGACGAAAAGACTCCTCAATGTGGGCACATCTTAGCAACTTTGATCCTGGCCATGGCACACGCTTGTCATCCTGTGCCCCATGTAGCACCTCTCCCCACCATTTCTCAGGGCTGCCTATCCATCTATGGTGTCCAACCAGTTACCCAGTTCTCACTTGTGGGCCCAAGAAGCTGTAGCACTCACAGAAGCCACAACCCAGTTAAACCAGGTTGAGGATAACTGACCAACTCAAACCCAATTCATCACAGATACATGTGCACAGTCTGCAAACAGAGTGCACCTCCTTGTAATCTCATCAGGTTTAACTGAAAACTCCCGGTTCAACTCCTTCTATTAGCACCTACTATGTGCATAATACCAACCAGCTTTGATATTTCCAATTATGCTCATTGCTTAATCACTGAGTTACAAAATTCAGCAATTCCCAATGAGTCTCTAAAGCTTGAGAACATGGGGTAGAAAATAATAGCAGATTTCATTTCTGAACAATTCCCATTGCACTATTACAGACACAAAGACATTAATCCAGGGCAACTGATGAATTTTCTAAATACCTAATCATTCCTTGTCTTTATTCTTTACCTCATCTTTTTACTCTTTGCCTATTACTATCCATCCTTTAACTCAGGGATTCTATACACTCTGGTAGTTTTCAAAAGCCTATGATATCAGGATAATGTTTTCCAATGCAGGAAATAAAATGCATGGGATTCCAGAGGAAATCAATTCTTTTGAAATATAATTATCCTTTTTTTCAAAAAAACAAGTTAACAGATTCCAACAGGTTAACAATCCCTACTTTAACTCATCTACCATAACTTCCCTCTTTCTTTTCGGAGCTTATCTCTCTGATCTAAGGAAATCTAATTATACTCTTGACCTGGAAAAGTGGTAACAGGAATCAGAGAGGGTGGAAAAAAGACATCCCCAGAATGCTGGAAATCACTTTTTTAAAACAACAAACAAATATGAACTTTGACACTTTTTTTACCTTTGATACAATGAACCCTGGAAATAGTGTAGGCCAAAAATTTTTTCTTTATCAAATTCAAAAATAAAAATGTTGCTGAAAGACCTAAGGCGGTGGCCAGAAGGAGGCTAATGAAAGAACAAGATGACAGAGGATTCTGGGAAGATGGTGGAGTAGGTCAGAAAGTTCCAAGCTCTCCACAAACAAGACAAAATAGAATATCAGGGTGAATGTAGAGTGGCAAAAATAAACATGAGTTGGTATAGAACAGTGGTCCTCCTGGGATAACCAAAGAAGATTGGAAGAAAGATCCCAGGACAGAGGTTTGACTAAATGAAGTGTAAACACCTTCAGGCTAGCTCTACTGAAACAGCAAGGCAAGCCCTGGGAACAACTGGGTTGGGCAGTATCCTAGACCTCAGCCACAGAGATTTTCACCTCTTGGACAGTGTGGGGAGTCAGGTATCTGAGTGGGGAAAGATTGAGAGAGCCTCTGCTGACAAGGAACACCAGACCCAGCTGTGCTTCTGAGACATGGTCCTGGGTGAGAAGGAACCAGCACAGATTTGGTGAGTGCAGAGGTCATGGGGCTGGCTGTGGACACTATGTATTAAAGTGCAAAAGAACTGGGGTTACAGCCAAAACCATCATACCCAACGAAGTTAAGCATAATCCTAAACAACAACAACAACAAAGGATATTCAGTGAATTGATAGGCTTTCAGGATTTTATTGCAAAAAGACAAAAACTAAATAGAAAATTTGACATAGAAGATCCAAGAGAAATATAAGGTAAACATCAAAGGCTAATTACAAATGACTCAATAAAGACAAATGGTTTACTTTTTATATGTGGAAATATAAACCATATATCTGAGATTGTCATTAGTAATTGGGTAGTTCAAAAGAAAGAGGGGGTAGAGCTAAGTATGATGAGATTCTAAAAAGCAAAATGATGGAGGAAAAGCTAAAAAGAGTAATTATCTCATACAAATGAGGAGTGAGAGGAAGAACTGATACAGAGGAATTATATGGGGGAGGAGGGTGGGTAGTCCTGGAATCTTATTCTCAATGAGAATGGGTTAGAGAGAAATATGTGTGTGTGTGTGTGTGTGTGTGTGTGTGTGTGTGTGAGTATGTAGGTATAAAAGTCCTCTAAATTCAGAAAGAAATAAGAGGGCAAAAGGATAGGATGGAGGGAGAGTATAATGGAGGGATTCTTGGAGGTGGGGTAGGTTAAGGAATAGGAGGGCAAGGTCGCAGGTGGAAATAAAGTAGAGAAGTGAGGAGGGATAGGAATAGGTTAAGAAGGCTAGTGAGGAACATAGGAAGGAGAAAAATATACAAGTAATATTTTAGAATGTGAATGGGATGTATTTATTCATAAAATGGAAACTGATAGCAAATTAAAATTTTTAATTCAACAATATGTTGCTTTTGGGAAATGCTTTAAAAATGAGAGATATACACAAACATAAAATAAAGGTCAAGAGTAGAATTTATTATATGAAAAAGCAGGTATAGTAAGCATGATCTCAGACAAAGTTAAAACTAAAATTAGATTTAATTTAAAAATAGAAAAATTACACTGTATCAGCAATATTAATCAATAGTTTTAGACCACATAAAATAACGAGAGTAAAAAAAAAATGAGAGTATATCTGCCAAAACAGATATAAGAACTATACAAATATAAACACAAAACACCTTTTATACAAAGTAGATCTAAATAATTGAAGTAATATTTACCATGCATGGGTAGGTAAAGCTAAAATAATTTTTTAAAATAACAATTTTAACTAATTAATATGTTTATGTAATACTATCCCAATTAAATTACTTAAAAATTATCTTACTGAGACAAAAAAAAATAATAACAGGATTCATTTGGAAGAGCAGAGGGTCAGGAACTTTAAGGAAACCAAGGGGAAAAGATATGAAGGAACTAAATTCAGTAGTATCAGACCTTAAACTATGTTATGAGGTAAAAGCAGTGTTGAAGTGTGAAATAGATAATTTTGATTATTTTAAATTAAAATTTGCCTGTATAAACAAAACCTATGTAGCCAAGAATAATGGGAATGCAGAAAAATTGGGGGGAAAAGCTCTCATAGACAATCTCCCAGATAGAATGTGATTGGGTTGGAATATTGTTGTGGTGTAAGAAACAATGAGCTGGTGGATTTAGAAAAATATGAACCTGTGAAGGAAGATGCTATCCACTTACAGAGAAATAGATAACAAGTAGAAATAAGCATAATATGGTCTTACATATATGCATTTGAGTATTTGTATATGTGTATATGTATATGGAGATCTATGTATTATATGTGTATATGTATATACATATATGTGTATGTATATATGTATGTATATATGCATATGTGTGTATCCCAATTAATTGTATCTTTTTTTGGGGGGGAGAGGGGGAAAATAAAGTAGAAGCACAACAGAGGACAAAAAAATATACAAGGAAGCAAAGAAACGATAGCTTTGAAAATAATGTGTAGTATTTATTATGTAGGTTTTCTCAAAATGGAAATTTGTTGCTTTGTATTGAATCCTTTTTTATGTACTGTTGTGTACATGCTAATGGTTTTTTTCTTATTTTGTATTTAAGTTTAAAATAAATTCAAATATAATGAAAAGAAAGAGATAGATGAACTATTGGTGAAACCCAAAACATAATCCTTATTTTATAATGTAATGACTAAGAGCTTTCTCTAGGTTCAATCCATTTATCATAGACAGGAAATCAATTTTTTACTAGCAGAACCATTTCAGTCCTCCAGAAGTTGTATCTGCTTCATCCCAAAGTGAGCCTTCATATGTACCATGATAATAGGATGCATTTGGGGACTGCTGCAATGTGTATCTCTATGCCACTGTGAATTCCTTCAACTCCCATAGCATCTATGATAAGATACCAGGTAATCATTCCTATGATTGGCTGCCAAGTTATAAAACCACCTCTAATCCTAATGCCCAAGGGAACAAGTCTGGCAACAAGTATGGATAAGGTTGGTAAACTCCTTGGCAAACCCAATGTGCCAAGTTCCAGTCTTCAAAGGCCAGTCACTCTGGGAACTGCCTCGGCTGCCAGGGAAAGAACAGTTGTTTTAAGCAGGCTTGCAGCCTTTAGCTCAAATAAGTAATTTATACGCAAAAATGATGTCTCACTTGCAAATGAGTTTCAGTCAAGCAACCCAATAAAAAGAAATAAGAACTGGACCTGTGATTTCACTGATGTAGGAGACCTGAGGATGACCTATATCAAAACAGGTTCAAAACATGTCTGCAATTTACAGCTGCCTGGAGAAAAGTGTCAAACATGCCACAAGGGGAATGCTATCAAATAAGAATTTGGCCAGAACCAGATTAAAATGTACCTGGGAAATAGTTAACAAAATAAAGCAAAACAAAAAAATTGCATGATAAATATTACTTCAATTATTTGGATCTACTTTGTATAAAAGGTGTTTTGTGTTTATATTTGTATAGTTCTTGTATCTATTTTGGCAGATATACTCATTTTTTTTATTGCCTAGTTATTTTATGTGGTCTAAAACTATTGATTAATATTGCTGATACAGTGTAATTTTTCTATTTTTTAATTAAATCTAATTTTAGCTTTAACTTTGTCTGAGATCGTGCTTACTATACCTGCTTTTTTACATAATAAATTCTACTCTTGACCTTTATTTTATGTTTGTGTATATCTCTCATTTTTAAAGCATTTCCCAAATTAGTTAACAGAACATAGATAATGTAAATATGCGGTTTTCCAAGTCAATCTGAAGCCCAAAGAGATCTTTATGTATAATTTAGGAGTTCCTGTTTCCATTTGAGTTTGACAACAGTGACCTAGAGCACTGATAGATTTAGTGACATTCCATGAAGGCAGGGCTCGATGGTTTCTGTGTCCCTGAGGAGGCTGCTGAGGGAGTATTCCCATATCCTGGATGACAAGGATCTGGATACAGCCATGGAAGAATTAGTAACAGAGGTACATTACAGTCGCATATGTGCTCAACCACATGTCCCCAGATAAGAAAACCAAATAGCCAAGAAGCTGAGTACCTGAATTTTAGAAAAAGGAAGGGGAGATTCCCTGGTGATATCAACTTCCTAGAGAAATTCAGGACCATGTTCCTGTTTAGAGTAGGAATAATGATTTGACAGTACCAAACTCTTAGACAGAAGAGAAGCCTGGACTCTAAGGAGAGAGAAATTCCAAGGTAGCTTTTAGTGTTGTTTTGTCAATTAATCAAGCACAACTCTTCACAACCCATTTGGGGTTTTCTTAGAAAAAATACTAGAATGGCTTACCATTTCCTTCTCCAACTCACTTTACAGATGAAGAAACTGAGGCAAATGAGGTTAAATGACTTTCCCAGAGTCACACAGCTAGTAAGGGTCTGAGGTTGGTTTTAAACTCAGCTCTTTCTGACTCCAGGACCCATGCTCTACCCATTGCACCATCTAGGACAGCATCAGCCCCTTAAACTGCAGTGCTAAAACAAATCTATGGCAGCATAAATGTGCACCTACCTGCTACTTTTCTCTACCATTACCTATATCCACAGTTGTATTTGGGAACTGGTCAATACACAGTTGCTGCCATATTTGGGGCCAAAAGTCTGCCATGGATAGGGCTATGGAAGTAGGGTGGAAATTAGTCAGCATTGCCTGTGGGGAGACAAAATAATAATAATATTATGTAGTATTTATACATTGCTTTAAGGTTTGCAAACCACTTTACATATTAACTTTTGGACCCTCACAACAACCCTGTGAGGTAGGGGCTGTTATTGTCCCCATTTTACAGTTAAGGAAACTGAGGCAAACCGAGATTAAGTGGCTTGCTCAGGATTACACAGCTAGTAAATGTCTGAGGCAGGATTTGCATTTGTCTTCCTGACTTCAAGTCCCACACTCTCTACATTCAAGGACAGACTGCCCCTCCAGATCTTTCCAAAAAGAGACCCTGGCAGGCTTCTGAAACTGCTTATCTTGTCTCTGTCCTTGCCACCTGGTGCTCACCTTGTTAATGAGATCTTGTCCTACCCTCAATGAATTACCTCCATTAAAACGAGCCATAAGTAGTAAGAGCAGGGACAGGACAAGTGGCATCAAAAACCTGGCAGTCATTTTAGGGATGTGGAAACTGAGGCCCAGAGAATTGAACTGACTTGTCCAAGGTCACACAGGCAATAAATGACAGCAGTCATTTGACCCCCAGGTTTCCTATCTCCACATCCTGCATTACAAGTTCATATGTGCAATGATGATAATGATGTCCTGTTTTATTGCCTAGGCTAGAACCTTTCTTTGTCTTAAATAATATCTTTACTTATACTGGGGAATGTCCTGGCCTGCCCATTTCTATGGTGTTACTTGTCCTTTCCTCTCTGGTCATATTCCTCTCCCCTTTGGTTCCACTCTTCAACCTTGACCTTGATTCCATTCAACCCTACCAGCCTTCCAACCTTAGCAGCAGGAAGGTGTTTCAGAACACTTACCTCTTGTGTCCTGGATCAACATATGTGAAATCTCTTATTTTAACATTCATAAAACAATCTGCAAACTTTGTAAAACTTTCAGGTACACTTTATCTCCTAAACGATAAGCCTGTTGACTAAATTCATTATTTTGCTATGCCTTGACTTATGATAAGCTTAAAAATATCTTTCTACCTTAACTTTAGATAAATCAACTATAAAATGATTAATAAATCTAAAGTGTGATGAATAAGCATGATTTATCTTCCTTCTAGCCACTGTGTGAATGTCCCCTGAGGCTCCAGCCTGGGCTTTTTGCCTCTCTCTACATTCTTTCCTTTAGTCACCTCTTCAGCTTCCATATGTCTAATCAGCACTTCTGTTCAGATGACTCCTCTCTCTCTCTCTCTCTCTCTCTCTCTCTCTCTCTCTCTCTCTCTCTCTCTCACACACACACACACACACACACACATACACACACGTATATGAATATATAACTAAAGTTGTATATTCATATATATATACACAAATATATATGCATATATAAACATATATATTCATCCCTAATATATCTCCTGAACTAAAGTTCCATGTTATCAGCAAATTCATTTGGACATCCTGTTGACATCTCAACTTCAATATATATCTTGAATTTCATTTCCATCTAGCAATCATAGGATCACAGGATCATAGAATCACAGATCTAGAGATGGAAGGGACCTCCAAAGACAAAGAGTCAAACATCCTCATCTATAAGATGAAATAACTGTGGCCCAACGAGGTTATATACTTGCCCAAGGTTATAACAGTAGCAAGCATAAAAGGTAAGACTTGAACCCAGGGCCTCTGACTCCACAGTCTTTAAACTCCTATTATATGCCAGGCCCTGCATTAGGTGCCAAGAATACAAAGACAAGAATGGGATAGTCCTTACTGTCAAGGAGCTTGCAGTCTAACATGGGAAAAACAGGTACATGCAATTTTACAAAATCTAAAATAATTATGAGCTCATTTCAAGGAGGAAGCACTGTCAGTTAGAGGGATCAGGGAAAGCCTCAGGTAAGATATGCCTCTTGAACTGAACGTTGAAGGGGATTAAAGATTCTACGAGGTAAAGGTGGGGAAGGAGAGCACACCAAGCATGAGGAACAGCCCATGGAGAGGCAGAGACGGAAGATGGGATGTCTTGGGTTGGGGACACCTAAGAGGCCAGTTTGAAGACTGCTTGAAGGGAAGAAGCATGTAAGTCTGGAAAGGTCAGCTGGAACAAGATCTGAAGGGCTTTGAATGGCAAACAGAAGAATGAGTGTTTAAAACTAGAAGCAACAGGGAGCACAAGGAGTTTGTTGAGCAGGGCTGTGACAAGGTCAGGCCTGTACTGGAGTAATATTGCTTTGGCAGCTGCATGGAAGATGGACTGGGCTTATCATCTTGCCCTTAACCTTTTCCTGCTCCAAAGTTCCCATTCTGAGGCCAGCACCATCTTTCCAGTCACTGGCTTATAACTTTGGAAACTTCTTAAACTCTGCATTGCTGAATCTATTCAGTTTCTAAGTTCTATTGAGGCTGACTTTCTGCTCTCACTTATGTGGCCACCACCCTAATTTAAGCCCTCATCTCCATAATAATAATGCTAGTAATAATATAATAATAATAATAATAATAATAATAATAATAATAATAATGGAGAGCATTTATATAGAATTTTAAGATTTACATTGCACTTTACAAATATTTTCTGACTTAATCCTCAAAACCACCCTGGGAGGTAAGTGTACTCGTTCCCATTTTTTGGTGAAGAAACTGAGGCAGACAGAAGTTAAGTGACTTAGATCAGTTCACACAGCTAATAAGTGTCTGAAGACAGATTTGACTCCAGATCTTTTATTCAATGTCACATAATAGCCACCTTTCACTTGGACTCTTCCAAAGGCCTCCCAATTAATCTTCTTGCCCTCATTTTCTTCCCCCTTAAATTCATCTTTCCCACAGCTTTCAATACATATTGCTGACACAGAAGCTGACCATGCCCCAAGGCCTTTCACCTCTCTAAAATTTTTGATGGTTGCCATTCGCTTCCAGGATAAATTCAAAATGCTAAGCGTTGAAAGTCCTTCCTAGCCTGGCTTTTGCCTTTTTGGTCTTGTTTCAGATGATTCCCCTTCAGGAAATCATTTAAAGTTCCCAATAAAAGCTGGCCCCACTCTGAAGCCACTGCTGATCTTCAGTGAACAGCCAGTCAACATGTTGCTATCTTGAAATAGTTATAATAAAATCCTTTTAATTTTCTTTGTCCTGAGTTTTACCTCATTAATCAGGGTGAAAGTCAAATGAAGAATTTTACTTTCAACAATATCCAGGGATGGAGGTACCTCAAGAAAGAGCAGGGAAACATGGCCCTAGGGAAATGATATTGTTTGTCTTTCCTATCTGGGAGGTCATAGTCATAAGGAACATGTGGGAAAAGTCATCAATTTGAGGGCAGGTGAAGATGGCAGAGTGAAAGCAGTGACTTGGTTGAGCTGTCCCCCAAACCCCTCCAAATACTCATAAAAAATGGCTCTAAACAAATTCTGAAGCAGCAGAACCCACAAAAAGACAGAGTGAAACAAATTTCCAGCCCAAGACAACCTGAATGGTTGATGAGAAAGGCATATCGCGCCAGGCTGGGAGCACAGCACAGCATGGTGTGGGCATGCAGGCCACAGCGAACCTGGAGCAAGCCTCAGAGGACTGAATCTTGGGCAGCTGTGGAGGTTTCCAGACTTCTCAATCCATGAATGCCAAAGACAACTTAGAAGGTCAGTGGGAAAAGTCTATTTCTGTGGTGCTGAGACAGGAAGGTGGGATCCCAACTCCATTCCCCAAGAGCGTGGCCCTGGGGTGGGGGGAGCAGCTGCTTCCCTAGCTTCCAGCCCATAGACTGAGGGAGAATCCAGTGGCTGATCAGAGAAGGATTGCAGGGATCTCTTTGCCAGTGCTGAGGCAGGAATCTCTTGCTTTGCCCGTGTTTGGATCTGGGTCACAGTTCTGGGTTGCGGTCCTGGGGTGAGGAGGAGCGCTGGTGTGGTGAGCTTCTAGTGACTGTGGAGAGGACAGTTACAGGACAGAAAGGAGTACTTGTGGTCACAGGCCAGGAAAGGAATAAACACCTCGCCCCTTATCATACCACCTTGCAAGAACTAAAAATTTACAGGTCCCTACAAGTATCTCTAAACACAGCTGTATAAACACCTGAAGCTTGGGACAGTACATCCTCCACATTGGAAGCAGATTCATACCTTAACAAAGAGTTTAAAACTCAAGTAATTGGCCGGGATCATGAGCAAGCAGAGCAAAAAGAGTCAGACTATATTATCTTACTTTGGGGAAAAAGAAGATCAAAATATACAACCAGAAGAAGACAACAAAGTCAAAGCCTCCAAGAAAAGTATGGATCAGTCCCAGTCCTTGGAAGAGCTCAGAAGGGATT